TACTTTAACTCTCATTTTTAAAAAAGAAGAAGCATCCCCAGGGAAAAGGCAAGAATATAATCTGTTTTGGAAGCACTGATCTCCCCTTGGTTCTCTCATCCATCCAGCTTTTCGGGTGAGCACAAATGGTTATGCCTGCTGGAATTTTGTAAGCTCTTTGACATTGTTTTCCTTTCCTTCATCCTTTAGATCCTTTGTTACATGCCCCTCTAGGTTTTACTCTCAACTTATCCACGCGTCATATCAAAATCCATAATTTTGGCCCCAAAACCTGCCCTTGCCTTTTACAAGAGGTTGACTTGTAGTTGAGTATATATGGTAGTTTGGGCATAAACTGGGCACTGATTGTACTTTGAAAACTACTTGACAGGAATCTATCAGAATTTGTGAACTAGAATTCTGGCTGCTTTAGGTATGTGTTACATTGACTGCCTTTCCCTCCCTCATCCAATTGCAATTCAAGGTGCTGTTGCTTACCTTTAAAGCCCTAAAGAGCCTGGGTACCAACTGTCTTTGGAGCATCTTTTCCCATACCTGTGCATTAAGACCTTCTCCAAGTGCTGACTCTGGCCAAGATGGCCAACCATTAATAGCACAATTTACATCCTGCTTCTAGCTTTGTAGGATGTATAGTCATTTTTGAAGTGTAGAAAGATACAGAAGGATTCCACAAGGGCAGAAACACAGTCTCCTAGACAACTCCTCAAGAGTGGTACTGAGGAGTTGACTGGTAGAGATCTGTGTCCTGGAAATTACAATATTCCCCAGCACAAAGCTGAAGAATCACAAAGGTTCATTCAGATTGGATAGAAGTTTCTCGAAACAAAGATTTACAGTATTATCGGAGGACCTTGGATGGCCCATGCTGAACAAGGATGGAGAAACCCCCCGCTCGGTTGGTGATTTATTAAGCTCCAGTGAGTACCAAAAATTGCATCTTAAATATCTGAAGTGCAATCTCCATTGAGAAACTATTGGAAAGTGAAGCTAACAGTTGAGAGAGACTGATAGCGGAGCAGTCCAAAACTGAAGATTAAACTAAGTAGCAATGTGGACTGGAAATAAGAAACAGAATCGGTGTCTCCAAGACTTAAAAAATCAAAAGGCTTAGATGGAAGTCATATTTTAGAAAAGGAGAAATAAATATTGCCTCTGACACCAGAATTTAAGCAGAGAATGATTTGCCTGATATCATAAAGATAGCCACCAGAAAAATGTCCAGAGCTGGGCTAAATGAAACTGACCCCTATGCTTATTAAAATTCAAGCCATAATGTTTGGGATGTCTAACCCGATTTTAGATCTGAATAAACATGTAAAAGAAAGTAATGGGAATTGAGAAGAAAAAAATGGACTCATTAAGATCTGGTATTATAGGACAAGTAAATCATTTTAAAGGGCTGAAGTGCTGAAAAGTAGTTCACGGCGTCAGTTCAGAAACTCACAACGTTACACACAAACATGAACAGGAGATCTCTGATAATTTGATAAGAATGGGTATTTTACAGCAGGATTGGAAAAGGCATAGGACAGAATTATGATAGATTTCAAATCAAAGGAAACACAGATTGCATTAAAAACTGTTCCAGAAGAGCTGAGCGACTTGAAGCAGTCTTAAATGCTTTGGTATGCCTTAGAAACAGTTCGCGTGAAGAAAATGGAAGCAATGCGTAGGCAAAACTCTGATGCACAAAGGAGAAAAAAAACCCTCCAAGCAAAGCAATAATTCTTTCCACATATAAAACCATCAGAGATTCAACCAATAATTACCAATAAGAATCCAGGCTCAAGCCTCAATAGAAATTAGGCCTGCCTCAAGTCATACAGCTGCATTAGAGACACAGCGTGGAATAGCAAAAAATTAGGAAATCCCTATTAGGAAATCTGATTATCATAATTATCCAATGATCGCTTGGTGTATATTGAGGGAATTGGCTGCATTTACTTCCAAAGGGTGTCATGACAACAGTTTGATACGCAGGAACCAAATCCTTGAGAGCCAGCCTTTTGTAGTGGTTGGAGCAATAGATCAGACCAGAGTTCAAATCCTGGCTGGTCCATGACAACATACAGAATGATCTTGGGTAGGATCTTGGATAGGTCATACTCTCTCAGCCTCAGGGGAAGGCAAAGGCAACCCCCCTCTGA